CTATGGGAAACAAAAAAGTCCCCCACCAGGAGCTGGTGATATTTGCAATGCCTATCTCTTAGGGTTGTTTTTGAAAATTGAAGTGCTGCATTATTGCTATTATTACTAATAATAATAATAGCCAGAATTTATGGAGCAGCTTTAAGGTTTGCAAAGCACTTTACAGGCTATCTCACAGTCATCCACTGAGGTCCTTGTGATTATTATCTGCACTTTACAGATAAGGAAACTGTGGCTGAGAAGGAGGTTAAGTGACTTGCCCAGGGACATGAGGCATAAAGTCAGAATTATCAGTAGGCTGATTTCTTGGAACAGTGGAAAGTCTTCCATGCCTCTGACAGGGGGACTGGCTTCAGATTCTGACTCTGTGGCAGCTAAGGTGGTATAGTGGATAGAGAGGTGGTAACCGAAGTCAGGAAGACCTGCCTTTTCAAATCCTGAGACTGAGAGAGATTAGGTGACTTGCTTAGGTGTCTCCCAGACTCAAAGTCAGTGCTCTCTCTGCTCATCACAGGGATTACTGGAAGGGTAGCCTTACTCATAAGAGTAGCCTTATCTCCCACCAAGGGGAATGTGGAAGAGTAGATAAATATTGTCCTGGAGGAAGGGAAGAGAGAGAGAAAAGTAGGGTCTAGGAGATATCATGTGGAAGGAAGTTGAGACTCAGAGTATGATGGCCTGGAAAGATCCCATGGAGAAGGGACCTGAGACTCCATCTAATCCAATCCTCTCATGTCACAAAGGAGAAAACTAAGACAGGGAAATGGCTTGGCCAAGGTCACATGGGCTATAAACCAAAATCCTTTGACAGTATTAAGACAGCTCTCTTTTATACTGTACCACACTTTCCTCAAATTAGGAGCAGAGCTAGGAAGATGCTCAGGATAGGACCAGTGGGAAGGGACTGCCTGGTGTTCAGTTGCTTTAAACAAATTAACGATCTATTTATTATTGTTGCTGTTGCAATAAAAAGACATCTATAAATCTCCTTAAGGAGAACAAAGCTATCCATTCTCTCACCATAGTCAGGAGAGGTAGGAGGAAAGGGGAGGGGAGGGGAGGGAGCAATGTGCCAGGCTCTGAGGGAGATACGAAGTTAGAACACAGAACTTACACTGTAGCCGGGGATAGGACAGTTTCACTCAAAATTATAATATACAATCATATATAATAAGTGCATCAGAGAAGTGTAAAAAAAAAAGTGCAGTGTGAAGTCTGAGGGGAGAGGTAGGTGGGATAATCTAGGAATGCTTCCTGGAAGAGGTAGCAATTGAGTTAGGCTTTAAAGGATAGACAGGGATTGTACAGGTGAAGGGAGGGAGGGAGGGTGAATGTAAGAGGGCAGCTAGGTAGTGAAGTAGATAGTGCTCTGACCTTGGAGTCAGGAGGACCTGAGTTCAAATCCAGCCTCAGACCAAACACTTGACACTTATAGCTGTGTGACCCTGGGCAAGTCACTTAACCCTGATTGCCTCACCAAAAAGGGAAAAAGTAAAATAATAGGATGTAAGCTCCTTGAGGCCAGAGACACTTCTACTTTTTTAGCGTCTTTGTATCCCCTAATACCTGACTTAGTTCCTTGCATACAGTATGGATTCAATAAATGTTAATTGAATTGGATTGAATTAATAGGGTACATTTAATTAAATAACATCTGTAAAGCATTTTGCAAACCTTAAAGTAGTTTTATAAGCTATTATTGTTATTATCATTAACCTAATTGTGGCACCTTGATGCAGCAAAAAGACTTGGAGCCAGAGGACACAGATTTAAAACAAGGCTCTTCCATTTACCTTCCCCTTTCTGGGCCTCAGTTTCCTCCTTTGTAAAAACAGAGTTGGATCCAATGATCTCAAAGTTGTCTTTCAGTTCAGTGTTAGTGATGCAGTGGTCTAGAGGTGATTCTGGGTTCAGCTGAACAAAAGCTCGAGCAGGTCTCACCATCTTGGAAAGACTTAAAGGACAGGCCTGGGAATAGAAGGCATGTTGTGTGAGGACCAGCCTGGCTAAATTCTGAAAAGCTCAACCCCAGGAATTCTGTAAGGCCATTCTCCAAGCAGTGGATCAAGTACTGATCTAGCTGCTAGGGAAGAAATAATTCTTACAACACCCAGTATATTTTCCACTGGAAAATCAAATAATTCCTCAGGAAAAGAAGGGAGGTAGAGAAGGAAGGAAGGCAGGAAGGAAGGGAGGGAGGGAGGGAGGAGAGAAGGAAGGAAGAGAATCACAGGCTCCTAGATCTAAGAGAAGACAGGGAAGGAGGGAAGAAAGAAAGAGAAGGAAGGAAAGAAGGAAGGGAGGGAGGGAGGGAGGAGGGAAAGAAGGAAGAGAATCACAGACTTCTAGATCTAAGAGAAGACAGGAAAGGAGGGAAGAAAGAAAGAGAAGGAAGGAAAGAAGGATGGAAGGCAGGGAGGGAGGGAATCACAGGCTCCTCGGTCTAATACAGGAAGACACTTTCAGTGCCATCTAGTTCAACCCCCTTATTTGACACCTTAGGAAACCAAGGCTCAGAGAAGGTGAGCTACTTGCCCAAGGTTGTGCAGATAGTAAGTAGAATCATGGCTCTAGAGTTAAAAGGACCTTGGGGGACATCTAGTCCAAGTCCTTCATTTTACAAAGACAGAAACTGAGGCCCCAAAGTTTAAGTGACTTGTGACGCAGGTGCTAAGGAGAAGAGCAGAAATTCAAACCCGGGCCCTCAGACTCCAAACCCACTGCTCTCCCCAACGTACCAGGCTGCCCCAAGAGCCTGGGCTTGAGGGTCATCTCTGCTCTTGTCCTGCCTTGTGACCTCTGGCAAGCGTAGGCTCTCTGGGTCCTGGTTGGAATTAGCTGCCCAGGTACCTTCAGGCACTATGCCTGAGATCCAGACTTCTCTGCTTGGCATTCATAGCCTTTCCCAACCTGACTCCACCCTTCTCTTCCAGGCTTGTTGCATGCATATCAGTCCCCAGAGTCATGCACTCTGTGGGCTCAGCCAAGCCAGCCTCTTTGCTATTCCTCACACACAGGACATCTCTGTGGCTTTGCATACACTGTCCCTTGCAACTGAAAAGCAGCCCTTTCTCACCTCTGTCCTTCTACTCCCTAGTACCAGTCAAAGCTTAGCTCAACTGTCACCCACATGAGGCCTTTCCTGGTTCCCCCAGATGCTGGTGCCTCCCACCCCTCACCCCCTCCACCACCCCGGCATTGCCTTTACTTCATATATACTTGTGTATATGTTGTCTCACAAAATAGAAGGTAAGCTCTTTGAGGGCAGGGACTGTTTCACTTTTGTCTTTTCACTTAGCCCACCCAGTTCCTGGCCCACTGTGAGTACTTAATAAATGCTTGTTGACTGATTCTGTGAGGGTGGATCGTAGGACTTAAAACTCCCTTCTTCACAGGGTTGTTGTGAGGACTGGGTTTTGAACACCTTAAAGCTGCTAGATGTTAGTGGTTATTGTCTGAGGATGATGAGATTTGTCGGCATGGGAACTCCCTCCATCCTAGATGCCCAACTAGGCTATGATTTATTCGTCTGCTAAAGCCTTGGGAGCTGCGGTGAGGCTCATGGAGAGATGAAGTGCTGGGCTTCAACTTTAAACCCTGTAGGGTCAAAAGTCAGGGCTTAAAGTTGAAGCCCAGCACTTTATCTCTTATTTTACAGTGTTTATGCTAATTGTTTTTAGTAGATACTTATGAGGATGACAAACCTAGAGCGGCTTTCCCAGGGCAAGTAGTAAGTATCCCAGATGGATAAGATTTGAACCCAGACTCCAAAGACTTTGTCCTTTTCACTAGACAGGGCTGTTTTCTCAAATGTTTATTGAAACTCCTAGGACAGGAATTGTCATATAGGACCACAGGCTGCAAACTGGAAGAGACCTTAAGACTCATCTGATTTATCCACCTCATTTTACAAAACAGGCAACAGAGGTGACCCCCAAGGATAAGTCAAGATCCTGTAGAAAAATCCAGATTTTGCTCTCCTTTCTGGGGCTTCAGCCCTTTCCTATAGTGGGAGCTTCACAGATCTGGGGCTGGAAGGGAAGTCGGAGGGCATGAAGCCCAACCTTCCTATTTTACAGATGAGGAAACTGGGGCTGGGGGGAATGAAGTGAATTGCATAGGTCACACAAGCTATTAGGTTAACTCTACAGCAAGCCTTATCTTCACCTTTTTTTGTGTGTCCTGGACCCTTTTGGCAGCAGACTGTTGAAACTCATGAACCCCTTCTCAGAATCATGTCTTGAAATGCTCAAGATAAAATACATATTATTACAAAGGAAACCAATTATATTGAAATAGTTATCAAAATATTTCCAAAAACAAGTTCACAAATCTCAAAGGATCACAAATCTAGAGCAAGAAGGGACCTCGGAGACTATCTAACCCCTCTTTTATTTATAAATGAGAAAAGTAAGGCCCAAGGAGGGGACGTGACTTCCCCATGACATGATAGCAGCAGTGGTAGTGGTAGTAGTTGTAGTAGTAGCTGCTAGCATTTATATAGCGCTTTAAGGTTTGCACAGCGCTTCACATATATTATCTTATCTTTATAACGACCCTGGGAAGTGAGTGCTATTTTTACCCCCATTTTACAGACGAGGAAACTAAGGAAGAAGAAAAAATTACTTGCCCAGAGTCACACAGCTAGTAAGACAGACTTCGAGCTCAGGGACTCTGACTTTGGGGCCAGTGCTCATTCAACTGTATCATTGCTCTCAGCTTAATAAATATTTTAAGCAACAAGCTTACTAAATGCACGTTGCATGGGTAGATGAAAAGAAGAATGGAGGGATGGATGGATGGATGAATGAACAGAAGAATGGGGGCGATGGGGAGATGGTTGGATGGATGATCCAAGGAATAGCCGATAGAATGAAGCAATGCTTGAGGTGGGGAAGCTGATGGAAAGGAGTGGTGCGTGGGGAAGCCCAGGGCCCCCGGGTCGGTAAGTAGCCCGACGGGCGCCCCTTCAGCTCTCCCTCCCCGTCCTGTCCCCGCAGAGGAGGCGTCGCGGCAGCTGGAGGCCAAGTGCCGGGCCCTGGAGGAGCAACTGGAGGCGCGGGAGCGAGGCAACGGGGAGCTGCGGCGGGAGCTGCGGCAACGCGACGCGCTTGTGTGGGCGCTGCGCTCCAGCCTGCGCAGCAAAGAACGCCGCTTCCTGGAGGAGCTGCGACGCCGCAGCCACCGCGCCACCGTGCTGGGGACCGAGCTGCAGAAGCAGAGCGAGGCGGCCGCCTACCTGGCCTTTCAGCTGCACGCTGCCCGGCAGAAGCTGCACGGGGCGCCCCGCGCAGCCCCAGGCTCCGGCCCGGCTCCCGTCGAGGGTACTGCAGCCTCTGAGGGTGCAGCAGCAGCCACCGCCCCCGCGGGAGGAGGCCGGGACCGCGCCCCGCCGCCTGCCGACGGGCGGTCCAGGAAACGCGGACCCCGCGCCCGCTGCCCACCGCCCCCGCCTTTGTCGCTGCTCCCCGAGCCGTGCGCCCTGGGCAGCGCCAGGGACTGGGCTGCCTGGGAACTGGGCTGCAGGCTGGACGAGGCCGAGCCTGAGCCCATGCCCGACCCCGCCCTCTTCCTCAACGCCCGCAGACCTCCGCGGCCCAAGACCCGGGACAACGCCCACCCAACCTGCGCCAGCCCCCGCAAGCCTCCGCCCCGGGAGCCCCCCGATGCCGCTGCGGCCGCCGATGCCCCGGCCCAGCCCCGATCCTGCAAGAGTCCGCCCGGGAGGCGGCCGACCGCCCCCAGCCCGGATAGCAAGGTCGACCTAGAGTAGGGAGGAGCCTGGGGGCAGGGGTAGAGCGAGATGGGACAGGACCCTTCCACCCCCGGGAGGACAGAGGGGCCTTGGCGGAGCTCTGGTCACTCTCTAGGCCGAAAGCTAGAGCCCTGGAACGGGACTGTCGGGGGAGAACGGCACTCCGGAAGCGCCTCGGGCGCCCTGCTTGGGCCCGGGGAAGTTAGAGAAGAGTCTGGGCCAAGTAGAGGCTGGAAATGGGGGGGGCCTGTACCTGAGCAGGGGAGAGATGATGGAGGGACCAACTTTCCTCCATCCCACCCATCATTTATATTAACAGACTTCTCTTAAGCTTGGCCACTTACCCCCACCGCTCACAAAGATACCCCTTTGTCCTTTGGGAAAGAAACAACCAGGTCCCTCCTTGAAAGAAGTGGAGGGGAACGATGGGGAGAGTAATTGCACATTTTTGTAAAAAAAAAGAGATTATTTATCTATATTATCTTACATATCCCCCTTCCCAGTGAGAGGGTTGGAGGGAGAAGGTCGCAGGGAGTAAGTTGACAATCTTGGGGGGCAGGGAAGGGAAAGGAGAAAGGAAAGGTTTTCTAGGACTTCAGAGCGAGGGAGAAGGCTAGTGGCCAGAGAAAAGAGGGCAAATCCTGCTGCCTCTGGTTCTCCCTAAGACCTTGGAGCCACCCTCTCCTACGCCCTCCCCGCCCTGCATGGCTCCCACGCCGCTTCCGCAGAGCCACTTCTCGGTAGCCAGTCCTGCTGTCTGGCAGGAGGAAAGGCGGGGGCGGGGCCGAGGCTTCCCCTGGGAACGTGAGTATACCCCCCTTTTGCATCAGCTTTGCAAGCAAGCACGAAACACTTTACCCCCCCCCACTCTTTGCACCGCCGCCCCAAGCCTGATATCCCTCAGGGGATCCAAGGGGAAGAATCCACCTAGTTGACGTCTTTGCTTCTTGTTTCTGAGCTTGTTACTCCCAAAGGATGAGTGGGTGAGGTAGGGCTGAGGGGAGGGTGCCCCCTGAAGCTTCTGCTGTTGCTGCTCTGGGCCCCACCTGGGGCCAGGTGGAGAAGTTCTGTTCCCAGATTGCTGTAGGAGGGGCTGAGAATGGGAACTGGGCAAGTTACTCTAGGAGGTTTTCTGGGGCCTGGTTCATTGGTACTCATTTCTGCTGCATCCCAATTAGCTGGCTGTGCCAGAAGGGAGGGGCTGGCTGCCGGGAAAGGGAGTCATTAATGTAGGTGTGGGGCTGGGGGAGGGGGTCCTCATAGTTGTATTACAACACCTTTGCCCCACTGCTTCCAACTTTAAACATCCAGGAGACACCTTCCCCCATGGGGATGCTAGATTTCCTGATGTCCATTTTGGTTAGGTAGGAATAGGAGGAGGGAGGGAGTAAAGGATGGAAAGAGAGATACTCCCCAATGCGCACAGCCTCAGCTTCCAACAGCAGCCTCTGCCTAGGGCTTATGTTCCTCCACTCCTAGGAACAAGGAGAAATTGGAATCCAGGAAACAGAGGGCCAAGCATAGCCATAGGCCAGTCCTAGGCAGTGGGGGGAGAGAAGTACACAGGGTTCTCCCCTGGGCACTTGGTGCCTGGCTGGACGTGGGAGGTGCGGGAGAGGGGGAGGAACACATGAATGTGCACAGTGGAAACCTAGCCTATGCTGCTCAGCCATGGAATGGGTCTGGGAGCCCATTTTTCGTTCTCTGGCTGCAGGCTATGCCAGTCTGAACATCTCCCCAACTATATTATCCCAGAACCAAGAGGGACAATCATTGAATCTCTTACCAAATCCCTGGGAAGAAGATGATAGAATTGTAGGGGGAAGCCACTTTTCTGGGTTCGTCTTTCCTGCTTCCAAACAAAGAAGATCATCCCTAGCCCCTGGGAATCCAATCAGAAAGAGCCCAGCCCCCTAGTAGGCCCTGCATTGAGCCCCAAGTGCCTGTGAACAGTCTTCCAGAGTGTTGGAAAAGATGTTTGGAGGAAGTGGGAGGGAAAAAGGGGGACTTTCATCAACATCCATAGTCCCTGTTTCACCTAACAGGCCTCTGCCCAGATTCTGTTTTCCAAATAATTTTGATTTCTCAGCCTTCTTCCCCTCATGGGAGAGGGAAGGGACACATGAACTCAGGACCTACTCCCATCCACCCTAGAGAACCCACTCCGGTGCTGGAGAAGTTGGCAGGTGGGCCATGGTCAAGGTAGGAAGTAGTGGGGGTGGAGGGTGGTTCAAGAGAGGAAAGGTCTGAAAAGGACACAGGACAAGTGTCTGAAAAAGCTCTTTAGGCTAAGGGATGGGCAGAGGATCCTTGTTCAAGAAGGGGGAAGCCAGAGGGGTGCCATATTCATACCCATTTCCCCCAGAAAGGAAGTTTTGGAAAAGGTTTCCTTCTTTCATCCAAAAGCTGGGGGATGGGGAGGTCTGGTCACTGCTGATCAGTCTCCAGAAAGATTCTACTGAAAGAACTGAACTGCTCCGTCCTGGGAAGTAATGACAAACAGCAGTCCTGAGCAAGCAAACGCCCACTCTCCATGCTCACGCACAAGCCCAGGGCAAATGTAGACAGTTGTCAACATGCAATTATCCTGGTGTGACACAGCCCCTTTAGGAGTCTAGCTAAGATACCCCCAACTCCCTACGGACCCCGCTAAAACACTTCACTGCAGTTGGGGTTGGCCAAGACGTGGCCACTTGACCTCGACAGCCACTTTCCCTGGGGCAAAATGTCTGCTCCCCTTCCCCCAGCTTTGGTAGTGAAACTGTTAAAGCCCCGAGGCTTGCAAGACTTCTCAGGCTGATTAAGTACAACCCCTTTCCCTTCCCCCCCGTCTTCTTCAGGTTCCAGAGTCTCAGTTTTCTTTCACCTGAGTCTGACTTTCGTCCTCTCTATCCCACACGCTCTCTGGGGCTCGGTCGGCCTCCCCCTGTTCCTGAGTTTTTGTGTCACTCTCTGTCCCCCTTAGACGGGACCCGAGACAGGTGAGGGAAGGGAAAATGCAGAGGGTCTCTCCTTTGGCACCGGCAAGCTGTCCTTCATCTCCCAGCACTATACACCTGGAGAGCAGGGAGTGACTTCAGTAGTTTATTTTCTTCTGCAGTAGTGGGGAAGGGACTTTCCCTGTCACCTAATAAAAGCCATGGCTCCCTCAGCCCTGTTTCAGTAGTCCTTCTCTCCCTCTCCCTGACTTGGCTCCTCATCCCCAGGGCACCAGGCACTTTCCAGAGAGGCTTGGCCCACACAGGAGTCACCACCTAGCCTGGCCAGCCTCTCCCCTGGTGACCAGGGCTTCCAAACATGCCTCTTCCACATGCCTTCCCCTTCCTGGCAAATGAAGATAATAACAACTTAATCATTTGCAGGGTGCTTAGAGATCCCCAGATGAAAGACTGTGGGTGCCAGGAAGCAGGGGGAGGGTCATTGCACACTCAGCTATAGCGGGAGGAAGCAGGAGATACGGGGAAAGGAAAGGAACTCAGTCTCCACGTGCTACCACCACCACCAGCACTTAGTAGTGTCTAGCACATAGCAGGCACTTAATAAATGCTAGTTAACTGACTGACCACTCAAATTGAAGATCCTGCCACTCCTGGGGGAGGGATGCCAAATGGACAACCATCCAGAAACTCTACCTCCAGAGACACTCTTAAGGGGACAGCTGGGATGTGGGGGAGGGATCATACAATCACAGACTTAGAGCCGGAAGGCACCTCAAAGGTCAGCTAGCCCACTCCCTCATTTTACAGAGGATTTTGTGTGACTTACCCGGTATCACACAGGTAGTTCGTTTCAGAGATAAAATTTGAACCCAGGCCTTCTCCCTACAAAGCAAATGCTCTTTTCTGCTATACAGGAACAGAGCCCTGATAGGACAGGTAATAGGGTGAAAAAGGTACACCTCCTCCTCATCCCCATTACAGTCTACTAAATCCTGACCCCCATCTTGTGTCCTTACCCCCAGCTCTCTCCTGCAGGCCCTCCTCCCTAACCCTACCCTCTAGCTCTGTGATGATGATGGGGGTAAGGTGGGGGACAGGCTTCCTTCACTCTGCCCCCTGAGTTTGGAAGGTTTGAGGCCTGCAATCTGGCCTGTTTACAGGTGCCTTCTCCTCCCCTCAGGCATGGGTATAGCACAAGCCAGAGCTGTATGAAGCTGGCAAGGTGGGGATCTGAATAGTGCCATCCCACTAAAGGCTCCAATGAGAGAGATCTCTTCTTGACTTGGAATGGGGGGTGGTGCATCAAGGAAAGTTAAAAATTAGGGGAGCTGCAACCCTAGGGTGACCTGCCTTTCTTCCTCTCCCTTCCCTCTCTGCTTTTGAAATGCTGCTGCTATTTTATTATAAACTACAAATCGCACTTTCACCTATCTCTCCTGTCCCATGGGGAGAGCTAATTAATTAAATCCTACATTAGGCCAAGGTGTTCAGATGGGGTGCGGGCAGGCGTGTTGGCCAAGTCCACTGTGCCCTCATGTCTCCCCAGTGGGAGGGAATGCCCATTGTAAAACCTTCCCTATGCTACCCAACCATGATGGCACACCTACGTTGCCTTGATCCCCACAGAAAGTATCTTTAGTACTAGAATGAAGAGGAGGGGAGTCCAACTGTGTCATTCCCCTTAGTAAGCTAGGAGATCTGGGGCATGGGTTGGACCATCTCTCCCAGAGGACAGGACTGTCATTTCCAGTATCTTGCTAAGGTGTCTCCCATCCCACCCCTTCGCATCCCATCCTCGGGTCTGGGCAGCCCCCCGGTCTGATTTTTTTCAGGCTAGAAACATGAACTCTATCCTCTTCCTTCCTCTACCTACAGACTCCTCTTTCTGAACAGGGATCAATAGAGACAGAAACTCCCTCCCTCCTTGGGAAACATACCAGGTTCAGAAGAGACCCCACCATCTAAAGATATAGTTCACCTAGCATAGGGCCGGAGGGGGAGAGGATTGTGGCAATAAGTCCATATTTCCCCCTGGGACAGCCAGTCTGGTGAAAGTGGGAAGCCATTGTGTGGCATAGATGGTGTGGGTCAGAGTGGGCTTGGGTTTCCCATTGGGCAGGAAGCTGATGGGTAAAGAGCCCAAGAACACAGGGCAGGGAGGTGCTGGGCTTTTTAAATCCAGTGCTTTTCAAAATATAGTCTTCTCAGATCACCCATCCACCCACAGAATTAGAGCCCTGTGCTGTAAATGTGACTGTGGTATGCCTTATTCTTAATAAAAACACAAGGAAAGGAAAAATGTGAGCAGTGTCTTGTCTCCACCTTGGCCTGTAGGTTGGGGAGGTCTGTTGGTGGGATGAGCTGCTGAGAGACTTGACAGGCTGTTCTGAGTCAGCTTACCCAGAGGAGAGAGCCGCCAGAGGAGAGTACACAAGATAGATGCACTTGGATGGAGCCAGCAGTACTCATTTGAGGGGTCAGAGATTGCAAAGTAAGCTATCTGCTGTGGCCCTTGTCCACCTTCACCAGCTGTCTCTCGTCACCCAGATTTTTAAAATATTTCAACGAAATTAATATATTGGCAGTGCCCGGTAGCACAGGCACTGTTCCACAGCCATACTCTCCCACCTCTCCTAATGAAAAGAAAGATCTGTGTTTTCTTATTTATGTGTTCTCAGGGGCCAAGCATATTTGTTGTATTTATATAGCCTTGGGCTTCTTTTTTTAAAAATACACTTTTATTAATGTTTTCATTTTTACATCACTCACATTTCCTAATGTTTCCATTCTTTTCCCATAAGGTCTTCTGTATTATAAAGAATTTTTAAAACAAAGGAGAATAATTCAATAAAACTAACCCATATGTCAAGAAAGTCTGACACAATACTCACCCACCTCTGCAAAGAAGAGAAGGCAACTTCTCTGGAACTCTTGTCTAGGACCAAGCTTGATGGTCATTATCATTTCACAGTATTTCCTTACAATTATTTTGTGGCTACTGGGCTTGTCATTCTGCATTTCTTACTGCACAATGATATTCCATTACATTCATGTACTATAACTTTTTGTTTTCGAAGTTCTTCAATCAGTGGTCATCCATTTTGTTTCCAGTCTTTGCTACCACACAGAGAGACAGAGAGAGGCTGCTATGACTCTTTTGAGATGGAACTGGGAGGAGGGGAGTATTCTGGGCTTTGGGAAGACTTCATAGATAGTGGGATTAGACCTGTTCAATCAGACTCCCAGAGAGCAGAACTAGGAAATGGGGACTTCTCAAAGAGGCAGATCTTAAGCTTGATGAAAGGCAAAATGCTTAAAGATAGAAGTTATCAAAAAATGGAATGGGCTGCTTCAGGAAGGAGTAGGGCAGCTGCCACTAGGGGTGACTTGGTGACCACTTATCAGTAATATTATAGAAAGGCTTCTTGGTCAGGTATGAGTTGACCAAGATGGGCCCTGAGATCATTTCCTGCACTGTGATTCTATGAATTTTCCTTTCAATATAGAAAAGCCTAGGAGTTCTGGCATAGTGGATAGTGAGAAATCATGTTATAATGGTTTGACTCAGGAAGACCTGTGTTCAGATCTTCACCTCTAACACACTTGTTAGCTGCATAATCGTGGCTCAAAAATCACTTAACCTTTTTTTAGCCTCAGTTTCTTTATCTGTAAAATAAAAGGGATAGACTCCATAGCTTCTAAAATTGATTTCAGCTTTAAATCTATGATTCTAACCAGAGGTGTGCTAGAGCCAGCTCTGGAGAGCTGGTTGTTAAATTTTCAGTGGGAGCATTTATACCTTGAAAATCATCAAAAGCCATAAATCAGGGCTTAATTTATTGTTTTGTTGATTCCCATGGGTGGAGAACGTACCAGTGCAATCCCTTAATAAAAAGATGTGTTAGGGGCAGCTAGGTGGCGCAGTGGATAGAGCACCTGCCCTGGATTCAGGAGGAACTGAGTTCAAATCCAGCCTCACACACATAACACTTATTAGCTGTGTGACCCTGCACAAGTCACTTAACCCCACTGCCTAACCAAAAAAGGAAAAAGAAAGAAAGAAAAGTAAAAAAAAGATGTGTTCTGTGAAGTTTGGATTCAGTCAAAGGGCTGCACTTGAGGACCTAGAAGGCCACATGTGGCCTCAAAGCCACAGGTTCCCCACCCCTGGTAGAGTTTACCAAGCACTTTATGTAAGTTATTTCGTCTGATTCTCACAATTGACCTGTGATTTGGTATTGTTAGTATTATTATTATGCCCATTTTACAGATGAGGAAACCGAGTCTCAAAGAAAGCACGTAATTTGCCAAGAGTCATATCTCTAATAATTGGCAGAAGTGGATCTTGATCCTAGGTCTTTCTTACTCCAAGGCCAACATTCTACCTCCCAAGCCACATCAGAATCTGGATCCCCCTACTGTTAACCTGTGTCTTTGTACTATATTCACCACAACTAATTAGGTTGTTCAGTTACCCAGTGCACAGCATCTTAAGTTGCTGCTGTCCCTACCTAGTGAATGAATACCTGGCTGTTGAGGACCGGCAGAGCTAAAACTTCCAATATGCCAAGGGATGCTAGATGGGATGTTCTTTCCTCTTTCAGTCCCCCATACTTTCCTCTTTCAGTCTCCCATACTTACCTCAAATGCCCAGGGGAGGGAAGAAGTGATATATCCATTCCAGTAAGATGGCCTGCAATAACCCTGGGGTACCATTTTCAATATGGGAAGAAGATAAAGCAGTGGTTCTCAAAGCTTCATCTAAGGACCCTTGGGGATCCCTAAGGGTCTTTTAGGGGGTCCTTTACATCAAAACTATTTTTTGTAATAATATTAAGGCATTTTTACTTCTAATGTGGTAAATTTCGACAGATATAACACATATAAACAAAAACTCTTCAGGATGGTCCTTGATCATTTTTAAGAGTGTATGGGGATACTGAGACCAAAAACTTTGAGAATTGTTTGGACAGATTATTGGGAGAAAAGAGAGAAAAGAAAGGAAAGGGTGAGAAAGAGGCAACGTGGTCTCATGGAAAGAGTACTGGATTTGCCATCAGAAGACCTGGGTTCAAGTCATGGTTTGGTTACAGACTAGCCACAGGATAGTAAGATTCTCACCCTCAGTTTGCTCATGGGTAAAAATTGGAATAATACTAGATTTCCCCTATCTCACAGAGTGAAGAAAGTGCTTTGTAAACTAAGGTCCTCCATAAGTATTAACTATTTTTTATTGTGATTAAAATAATAACAAAGGAAATGGAGTGGGGGAAAAAGGTGGGGAAGGCATTGACTTCTGAGGTTCTCAGCCCTGCTCAGCCAGATAATTTCTCTAGCAGGGTGTTACAGAGAATCCTTGGCCCTGTTTGGTTTGACATTTTTAACAACTCAGATGAAGACATAGATGGCTTATTAATCAAATTTCCTGATGACAGGAATCTGAGAAAACAAGTTAACACATCAGATGACAAAATCTGGAACTAAAGTGATCTCAACATGCTGGAATGATGAGCTGAATACCTGACTGTGAAATTAAATGGGGAGAATTGTAAAGTCCTGCATTTGGATAAATGCCAATTGTATAAGAAGAGGAGAGAGACTTGGGGCCCAGGTATGTGAAAAACTCTGTGTCAATCAATGATGTGAATATGGCTGCCAAAAAAAGTGAATTCTCTCTTGGGTTTCGTTGAGAATGACTTACACGTTTACAGTGATTGGCCCCTTATGCTCTGCCCTGCACAATCACATCTAGTTCTGAAAACTACATTTTAGAAAGGATATGGACAGACTGGAGCAAGTCCAGGGGAGGGCAATCAGGATGGTAAGGGACCTTGAAACTGTGATATACTAGTTACTGTGACAGGGACTGGAGTGATTTAGCCTGGAGAAGACCTGGGGAGGTTGTGATTATTGTCAAGCTCTCTATATCTATACACACATATACATACAAACATATACACATTCATATACATACATACATAAACACACACACATATATGTAGGTATGTATGTATGCTGTGTTTACTTCTCTGTCTATATTGTACACAAAGGAAAATGCCACACCACCATCATCAGTGAATATGCTCCCACCGAAATGAACCCTATTAAGGTCAAAGAAAAATTTTACCAAGACCTGGAGACCCTTATCATCAACGTGCCCAAAGAGGACAAGCTTATAATTCTGCGTGATTTTAATGCTAGAGTAGGCACAGACCACATGACATGGCAGGGAGTCCTTGGGAGGAATGGAGTCGGAAATAGCAATAGCAATGGTCACTTACTACTGAAGTGTGCATGTCATGACTTTCTCATCAACAACACTGTCTTCCATATTGGTGGATCAAACATTGGCATTTAATAGACTATGTCTTTGTAAGGAGAAGAGAGAGGATGTGAGAGTGACTAAGGTGATATGTAGCACAGAGTGCTGGACTGATCACAGACTTATCCTCTCCAAGCTAAATATTTGCATTCAACAAAAGCTGTAGCCCCAAAGCAAAGCAACTACCAGAAGACTTAATGTCAATAGATTATAGCCCTTCTTGGAAGGGGAATGGTTTGTTGCTAACTTTGGAGGGATAAATGAATAAATGGCATATGGAAGAAGGGTTAGATTTACTAGTATTGATTGCCTAAGAACAAAACTAGGATTAAGTAAAAGCTACCTGGGAGCTAGGTTTTAAATACCTAACAGTCAGATGTATTTATTTTTTTATTTTTTAAAAATGTTTTGATAGTGTTTTATTTTCATCCCAGTTACATGTCAAGACAATTTTTAGCATTAATTTTTATAAGATTTTGCGTTCCAAAATTTTCTCTCTCCCTTCCTCTCTTCTTCTGAAAACAGTAGGCAATTTGATGTGGGTTATACATGTGCTATCATGGAAAACATATTTCCATATTAGTCACAGTTGTGAAAGAAAAAACCAATCAAAAGAAAAAAAAACATGGAAAAAGAATAAAGTGAAAAAAATATGCTTTGATCTGCATTCAGAGTCCATCAGTTCTTTATGTGGATGTGGACAGCATTTGCCTTCTTAAGTCCTTTGTACTTGTCTTGGATCATTGTGTTGCTGAGAACTGAGTCATTCATAGTTGATCATCACACAGTGTTGCTGATACAGTATGTGGTGTTTTCCTGGTTTTGTTCATTTCACTTTGTATCAGTTCATACAAGTCTTTTTAAAAAAAAAAATTTATTAATTTATTTTGATTTATCAACAATCACTTCCATATGCTTTTGAGTTTAAAATTTTTCTCCTCCTTCCTCCCCACC